ACGGTAAATAGCTTCCTGTACACTGACTTGTCGATGATTAAAAAATGTACCTGTTAATTTTTTCATTTCTTCTCGAACGGACATATTTCCTTCACGACATTCTTTATGAGTTGCTTCTAATAATAAACTCATTTCTCGTTCTGGTTTTGTTGTATATGACATAAGATATTTTGCACAAGCATATGGATCAAGTACGAATTGAATATCCATATTAGCATTCCATGTTCTCAATATTTCTTCATTATATTGATTAACCCATCGTGCATTAGGTTCTCTTTTATGAATCATGGTCGTTCTAGTATGAACAACACGAAGAGCACATTCGTAATCCTCATAGGTCCAATTATACTTTGCTAGAAGATTATCAAAATCCGACCATGACAAAATTTTTTCTTTTTCTAATTTATTCATCGTTGCATTCATTTCAGTAAGAATTTCTTTCATTCTTTTAAATTTTTGTTTATCATCATCATTCTTAGCTTTTAATGGTTCACAAATGAATGTCCGTCGAGCAACAGGCCGAGGAAATCCAAAACGACACAACATTTTATACAATTTTAAACAAGACTTTGAATGATTACGAGAATGAAACTGTAATTCTTTGACAAGATAGTGTAATATTGGATCTTCTTCTAATGATGGGAATCGTGTGGTAATATATTTGTCACAAAATTTAACGATTTCCTCACGAGTTTTTTCATCGGTTTGTAATCCAATGTAAACAGGTGCACCTTTTACCCAAAGTGGCATGTGAGAATGTGGTGAACCTCGCATTTGCATTTCTATACGAGCAAACCAGTCTTCTACAATGCCTAGACACGATGCTCCACCTTTAATAAATAAATTCATAAATGTATTAAATCGTTTTTCAAACAAACGTGCAGCTAGAACAGGATTCGCACGTAAAAGCTTTGTTTTTTCTTTAAATGTATATGATTCTTTTATTGGAGCTCCAGTGTGACGTACAAAAGTATCAGTGAATTCTTTCCAACGTAGATCAGCACATGATAGTGTAAGAAAAAAGGTTGGAAAACCTAGTTGACGTGTCATTCCGAATAAGTCTTTTAAACGTTTATACCAATATTGTGGACTACCTCGAACACATTGCAAATGACGATATATCATATCTTTATTCATAAGAAATTTCATTTGCGTTTCATCTAAGCTTTGTTTAGCATTCATTGGTAATTTTTTTCGGAAAGCAATATTGATTCCGGAGTATACTTGTTTCAAGTCACCTAAATACTGTAGATAAAAAATATAACTTGAATCTGAAGCAAAACGAGAATCTGATGAAAATAAACGTGCTTTACAATATTCTTTCCATCTAAGAATTGTTTGACGATCTTCGTCATATGAGCCTTGACCATCTGGAAATAAATGAGGAAAGGCTAATGCTTCAATTGTTTTATCTGTTAATAATGAACTTAATTTATTTTTTTCAGCTGGTGCTACTACGCATGGCTCTTTGTCAAAGACTAAAAAATCATTAAAATCACATGGTTGAGTACATGAATCTGTACCAATATTATATTTAGTACGAATATCTTTATCATCTTCATTGATTTCTTCATCACTGTCAATAGTATTATCAATATCACCCAAAGCTAATCTTTTTAGACTATGTTCATTAGATGCTTCTGTTTGTTCAATGACAGTTTCTTCTGATATGTTGTCAACATCCATTGGTTCAACTACTAATTCAATGTTATTGTCATAGTTTTTTTTCTTGATCAGATGTAAGATAATTTTCATGAATATCATTTATCTTTATACTTTTATATCCTGGATGCATCTTAGTTAAAACAAATAGTGCATCTCTTACATCATTTGGATTTATTAATTGTTCTTCCCATATAGCTTTGTATTTTAGTCGTCGTTTCAGTTGTAATCGGACCATCATGGATTTATCAACTGGACGAGGTAAGATAGTTACAGTGTCTTCTACATCTGATGGCACACAATGAAGTGGTCCTTTAGTACCTTTTTGTGTCAATCTACTTGATAGTTTTCCTGATGTTAAATTTACAATTTTCATAAATGGTAATCTTAAAGCAATCAAATGTTTTTCAAGATTATTTAATCTTTTTAATTCAGATGGAATCTCACAAACTTTCAGTTTATTCACGACTGCTCGGCTTGGCATTTGTCGTTTCTTTATTTTGTCTGAACATGATTTACAAATCCATTTTTGTTCTCTTGACGATGAATACATAAAGTAAGATTGAATGTGTTTTTTTATTTCATATGACATGTTTTGTGTTATATACTTTTCTTCAACGAATGGTATCACTTGATTACGAAAAATTGCTAATTGACATGATATACAAACATAATCAGGTCCTTCTTGAATTATTTGTCGAAACTTATTCAAGTTATTCATGTATAAATTGCTTTGCTTATATATACATTTATGGTTCTGAATAGCAATATATTTTTTTAGAATACGTCTACGTTGATTATAAAGTCGTCTGGAATTTTGTCTCATCAATGTATTATTTTTATGATACCAATTCATTGCACGTTCAATTGTTTTCATTCGTATCATTGGATCAGATTTATACTTCTTCGAAACTTGTTTTTTTGAACGTGCTTTATATTGATTACGAAAATTTAAATTGTTATGATATTTATTTAAAACATCAATCTTGGACTTTATTTTCACTTGATTTCGAAAATATGAATTATTATGATATTTATTGAAAATATGAATCTTTGACTTGGTTTTGATTTGATTACGGAAATCTGAATTATTATGATATTTATTTAAAATATGAATCTTTGACTTGGTTTTGATTTGATTACGAAAATCTGAATTATTATGATATTTATTGAAAA